GTATCTGAAGTCTTAAAGACTTGCCTTAAAACAAACAGTTATCTAAGTGAGAGGTCAGCTAAGTCTACATTGAAGAAGCACAGTAACCTCTGTGATCTAAGGATTGTTAATAATAAAATCCATGCTCAGAAGAGGGAGGTGATACTAGAGCTAAAATTCTGAGCACTGGGTTTACAGAATGCTATAGATAACGTTAAACGTTCAAAGTTGATTTACGGAGCCCACGTGGATTAAGCCTCCACTGAATTCCTTCTGTCCACTAACTAGGGATGTGAACAGGCTTACCCTCAGGCTGGGTACATTGAAAAGTGGATTGTCACCATCCCCAGCCGAACTGGAGAGGGGAACCCTCCCTTAGATGCTTTCGAGGGCGTGTCCATGATGGAGATCACCATCCTGGGGTTGAATAGTCATGAAGCATGGCTTGATTGCCATGGTCAGAAGGGCCTGCACTAATCTTCTGTCTAATGAAATGTATGTGTCTCAATCACAGTCCTGTTTCCATTTATGTAGTACCACCTGCAGCTGTGATGTGTTGATATGCTGCCAATCAGCTTTTGTGGCAATTTCTTTTGTCCTCCATGTCTAGTTTAAGTCTCATTTCTCGGTAAACCTTTGGATATCATTATTACCTCATGTTAAAGATCTCCCTCCTCCAGAAACACTACAATAACTACCCCTATAAAGCTGCCCTGATTCACAATAAAAGTGGGGGGGGAAATGTTACAGTTTCCGAAACCCACAAGGTCGGTTATACTTTATCCTGCAGTGTCACTGAGTCAGCATCTATGACACAGCAATGGACTGAGTTTGAATGGCTCCGTTTATGATGAATTACTGTGAACAGTGCTCCATTGTGTGGCTTGTGTTTTACATAGTTGTAAAGATATCTTTATGTAAGCATCTTATTTTTATTTTTTCATATTATATACAAAAAAAACCATGTTATAAAAATTTCCCTAAATGCCTCTTTAATGTCTTTGCAATAATTAGGTATACCATAGTTTACTTAATTTTTTGCTACTTAAATTGAGATAGAAGATAAGACTTTGGAAGAATAATGTGAGTTTTAAAAATTCCAAATGCAATTTGGGTATCTACTCAATTTCTCATTTCTATACAACAGGGAAAGTTATTTTATTTGTATAGTTTCTTTAACCCAAAATATAGAATCTTTTTATAAAGCCAATAAATTTCATTTGATTGTTTGATATGATTTCAGATGATTTCCTTGAGTAAGAAACCTTCTTCTTACCTAAAGAGATTAAAATATTGTAAATGAATTCATCCACCATAAAATATGGGTTACATAGTTAAAAATAATGTTCTCTCTTTGACAATTAGATAAGGATTTTTATGTTCTCCCTAGTTTAATGTTCTTTAAATTGTTATTGGCAGAACAATTCTTAATGTAATAAAACATAGTTTGGCATTTGTTATCTTTTTTTCTTGATAGCGGAGTCCATATCCTTTCTATGATTATAAGCTTATTTCCATAATAACAAAAACAATACTTATCTTGATCTTGATTATCTACAGATCCTAGTCAAGTACCTATCACATTTTAGGTGGAAGCTACATCTGCCCTCCTCTGGCAACACCAGAGGAAAACAAACAAACAAACAAACAAAACCCCTCACTGCTGTGGAGTCAATTCTGACTCATGGTGAACCTATAGGACAGAGTAAAGCTGCTCCTTGCGCATTTCTGAAACGATAACTCTTTATGGTCATAGAAGGGCTCATCTTTCTCCCTTGTAGCTGGCTGGTAGTTTTCAACTGCGGACTGTGCACTTAAGCAGCCCAGTGTCTTACTACACCACGAGGGCTCCCCACTAGGCCAACAAGAGAGTCCAATTCCACATCAGCACAAGCCCGGTTGCCATGAGGCTAAGGTCAAACATGTCTTGACCTGCCATCCTTCTTTCACCCTAGTCTGACCCCAACCATTTCTTTCACAATACTTCTCTGCTGGGTTGGATAATCTGTGCAATGACCACAGAGATTCAGCCAAAACTGACAATTATGTGGGTTTAGGGGGGAATTTGATATGTCTACAAGCCAGCATCAGAAACATAATGGATAGCCTTTGGTCTACCACAGGCTTCTTCTTAGCCAGCAGCCAAGCCACTCTCTGGTCCTTAGCCTCTCAGCCTCGGGGCGCTTTGTCAGGAAGCCCATCACATTGCCTCACTGCTGCGCAGTCTCAGCAGCGTGGCTCCTCTGTTCTGGTGCCCCTGGTCTCTGAATGGCATAGCCTCCACTACCTATACTCTGACAGGCAGAAATCCTGAGCATGCTTGGAGAATTCTGCTGCACAAAACCTCTGTATGTTGTTAAAAACCTGGGATGCTTACTTTGATGACTAAGGTACACCTGATCCAAGCCATATTATTTCCTCTGGCCTCAAATGCGTGTGAAAGTTGGACATTGAATAAGGAAGACTGACACAAAACCAATGCCTTTGAGCTATGGTATTTACAAAGAATATCGACAGTACGTGGGTTGCCAAAAGAACAAAAATGTCTGCTTTGGAAGAAGCGCAACCAGAATGCTCCTTAGTGGCAAAGACGGCAAGACTGTGTCTCAGGTGCTTTAGGCATGCTATCAGGCAAGAACAGTCCTGGAGAAGGACATCGTGCTCGACAAAGTGGAGGGGAAACGAGAAAGAGGGTGGCCCTCAATGAGGAGGATTGGCACAGTGGTTGCAGCACTGGGCTCAAACATAGCCATTGTGAGGCTGTTGCAGGTCGGGAGGTGATTTGTTTTGTACATAAGGCTGCTATGAGTTGGAATTGACTCGATGGACCCTAACAAGAACAGAAGCAACAACGTCATCATTTGATGAGAATGACGGAGAAAGAGATAGGAGAGCCATATTATAAAATTTAACTTGCCACTGTAGGCAATTAATACATTTATGTCAAAATGCTAACTGTATTTTCTTATGCCAAAATTTCCAAATGATAAAATAACGCACTGAAGAATTTGTAGAACAGAGAGACAAATCATGTATGTACTATAAGAGATCTGCAATCATGTTCATATTGAAAGCACAGAAAAATGATTAGACAGGAACCATAATTTTAAATACATGTATAGCAAAATCCATATGTAAGTTTAATACCATCGTACAGCTAGAAATGCTGGGACTGTCAACTCCCCTTTTCTTTTGCATTTGCGAATTCAAGGCAGATAAAAAGCATTGGTCTGAATACCTCAAGATCAGAAGTTCGAAACCACCAGCTGCTTCCCAGGAGAAAGAAGAGACTTTCTACTTCTGTAAGGAGTTACAGCCTGGGAAATCCCCGGGGCAGTGCTACGCTCACTCTCATAGAGGGTTGTGATGCTTGAGAACCAACTTAATGGCAGGGAGTTTGTGTGGGGGGTGGTTTTTATGTTTTTTTGGTGTGGATATTTTTTCCCAAATGAAAAAAACTTTTTCAATGTCAATGATAGATAAATGACACTCTTCTGCCTGATGGTTAAGAGGTATTCTTTGCTTCATGGGAACTCTTTTGCAGTTTATGCGTATTATCAAATTTTAGGTGTTGAAACAGTTTACAGGATGTTTGCATGTATAGGATGTGTCCATTCACGTGTACTGAGGTCACTGCAATGAAATGGTAGAGTATAGAAATAAGAAAATGTTTTATAGTTGAATCCGAAGGAAGACCTTTAAGCCATAACGCATGCTGATAATCATGAGGATTGACTTGAATTTGGGATATAAATAACACTGGATGCTTATCCCAAATGTGCCACTTACAAGTGGTGTGATTTTAGGTATGTTTCTTAACCACACTAATCTTCAGTTTCCTCTGCTTTGAAACAGGGGAAACAATAATGCCTATTACATTGCTATGATCATTGAGTGAAGAAATTGTTTATGAAGTACTTGTGGGCTCTTCATTGGGTCTAGAAGAAACATATTCTTTATTTTGTTCCATCACAGAGGTTAGTGGCAAATGAATGGTATGAATGCAGCCTATTAAAATAGGAAGAAGAGGGAGGTTTGATTCTAAATATTTTGGATAATTATTTTCTGCAACCCAGTTAAGTATGAGCCAATTCAGCATTCTTCATCTCTCTATGCATAATTTTCTGTTCACCCACCCACAGAATTCACATGTGCACACGGTGGAGAGAGTGAAGTTGAATTGATACCTGATGACCTAGAAGAAACACCGGAAAGAGAGAAGAAACACACCAACTTCACTTTGTGCAATGTCTGTAACATTCAGCTGAATTCGGCTGCTCAAGCACAAATCCATTACAATGGCAAATCGCACCAAAAGAGGTTAAAACAACTCAGCAATGGGATGGTGAAAAATGACACTGGTAAGCCTTTCTAAAAATATGTTTTCAATGTTATTTCATCGTCTCCGGTTCTTTGTGTACCTGCAGATGTGAAGCTAAAAGAGTGGGTTAATCTTTGTTTTTGTGCTCCGGGCAACCCGTCCCAGTCCCCCAAAACAAAACAAAACAAACAAAATTCACTAAAGAAGAGCTTGACCAGAGTTATTTCAATAAATCACTTCTTGCGATTGTTTTGGGGTGGGGTGTTTGCTTGTCGGATAGATTTGATTATAGTTCCTTGTGGTTATGAGTCACCTGAAATTTGCTATTATGAGAACATTGGTGAATGAGTTCGTCAAGGTTTGCTTGGAACGTTCCCCTGAAGTGCAGTCTTTCACCCTGTTTCTGGAGCAGTGCCATTGTGGTTGTGATCTTGCTTGTTACTGTTCTTGTTTGGGGAGAGGAGGCTTTGACTTGTTAGGAAGAGAGCCGTTGATTTTGGAAAATTGTATTTCCTAAGTATGTGTTTTGAGCAATAACATATTCTAGATTTGTGAAGATAGAAAATTTATATTTGTTAGTGAAAATTCATGGGATCTGTAATCACTTTAGACTACTGTTTTAAAGCGTCTGTTGAACACACGAGTAAATAGATTGTTTTATATGCTTTTGGAAGCAAATGGAAGGTTATTAGGAAAACCACAGAGGTGAGGGAGCTGAGGACAGATGCCATAGCAATTAGAATGAGTTACAGTCTTGTATGCAGGCTGGACGTTTCCGATGATAAGTAAAATATGCTTTATCTAAGCATTTATGCCATTAGAAATGAGACTTTATAATCAATTGTGAAATCTGACTTCATGAGATTGTGTGTGTATATTTATTTTAAAGATGTCATATATAAAGGTATTTTATATAGCTATTAAGGTTTTCATATCTAAATGGAATACATACAAGCATACCTTCATGAAGTCAAATTTCACAACTGTGAAGTATATCTATCTATCTAGATATATTAAGATATATATGTACATATAAAAAGATGTGTGTATACATATTTATGTATAATTATGAATTTTGCTTTAAGGCTATCAAACAATAATAATGATAAAAAGTTCTAAATACAAATTACTTCTACCTTGTTTTTAGATTTTCATGGTATGAATGAGAATATTTTAATGAAAATGACCCCATAAAACTTCTTCCCAATGTATGAGAGTTGGTTAATCATAACTCTTATTTGTTCAAGAGTAAAACATCCCTTCCCCACACAGAATATTACCAGAATGTCATTGAGAACTATTAAATTCTAGAGGCATCAGATAAAGCTAGTAAAGCAAATGTACTTAGTAAGCTATGATTAAGAATACGTTCATTCCACAATCTCTACTTTGAACTTTCTAAGGAAAATGTGTCACTTATCATCAAATATAGATAAAATAGTTGTAAATATCTATAATTTAATTCCAAGTTGTTCTTTGTTCTTCAGTTTCCTTTGTTGGTGAAGATGGTGTGGTCATTGTTATTTTAATTGACCCTCCTAGATATTTAAAAATCTCATTTAGAGCTGTGAACTAAAAGCATGCTTTGTTCAGAAAGGCAAATAACAGCTCACCCCAGGACTGAAGAGTTCAAACCATAGTACCAGAAGTGAGAAATGAATATTTGAAATTTACCATATCGGTGCACTTATTTTTATTACTTCGCACTAAACCCTTTGTGCATATTTTATTTATTTCTTATGACTGATCTGAGCAATAACATATTCTAGATTTGTGAAGATAGAAAATTTATATTTGTTAGTGAAAATTCATGGGATCTGTAATCACTTCAGACTACTGTTATAGATGTGGACATTGAGGATAATGTAGATTAACACTCTCCTGAGGGTCACGCATCTACCAAAAGTTCAAGCTGGTAATGAAATCCAGATTTCCCCCAAATAAGTATTGTTTGGAATTTATGACTTTCTTTTCTCTAGGAGAGAAAATATAAAGCGATTCTGTTTTGTTTTTATTTAGTAAGGTTTGTTTCTGTAATCTTCTTTAGCAAGGTTTACACACTTTTACATATTACCCACAATACTTTGATCAATACGGTGTTCACTGAAATATTCTCAGTCCATTTTCTATTTGGATTAGTGGTTTCTAACACTTGGGAAAACAAACAAACAGCACTCTGCTAGTTAATTGGTCATCAAAAACAATCAGAAATGTCTTAAGCCATAATTTCATGGCTTAGAATTAGACTTCAAAGAAGAAACGGACATTGGAAGGCGAAAAGCCAAGAATCGCAGGGCTCGGGCCACATAGATGGGATCTACTAGCCAAGTAGGGTGTTGCTGAAGCTAGAAAGGACAAAAAGAATATTCAAGAACGTATGGTGACTTTGGCCTTAATCTAGACTACTGTTACACCCAAGAATACCTATATCCATTGATTGTCTTCTATATTGTGTGAAACTGAAGGAATCAAGATACAGTGATGATATTTTATTTGCTGATTTATTTGTTTATATTGAGATTTTATTTTTGCTAGTGTGAATAACGTTGGGATGAGCGTGAGTGTATATACATCTATTAGTGCAGTTGCTCTTATTTTTCTAGGACCTTTACCGAGAGAGGGGGTATTGCTAAATCCTATGCATTTCTATTTCTAACATTTTAAGGCAGCGCCATGCCACTTTCTATAGTAGTTGCCCCATTGTCCACTTTCTGTATATGATGATTCGTCTCTCCTCATTCTTGATAGCATTGTTTCCTGTTTGTTTTTTTAAACTATGTTCTTCAGGTGGGGGTAAGATGAAAACTTACTGTTGTTTGTTCCGAAATTGCACCTTTCCAGAGCATTCATGTGCATCATATACAGGCCATATGAAAGGAAACTTCTAATATCAAAAAGCAAAACAGTTGATAAATGCATAATACTGAGAATAATGGTCCAATCAAGTTAAAACATAGTATTGGATATGAGTTGGGGGTGGAGGAGGATGTCACAAGGGGTGCATTTTATGGATAATGTAACAACAGAGAGGAAAACAAATGATCTTTTGATCCGGAAGAAAGAACTTCAGTGGTTCATTCTTAAAAACGAATTCACTTTCCAACACAGTACAGCTAATCACCTGGCCCCTCTTCTCTTCAGTAGCCTTTAAGCCCCTTTAAGAAAATGGTCTTTTTTCTTTATGTCTGCACTGCTTATTAGGGAGCCCTCAACTTGAACTGAAAGGGGTTCTATGCCATGGTAATAGACTTATACGTTTGCAAGGTACTTTCACAATTGAGTTAATATTTTACATGGACTAGATTCATTGCATTTCCTTTACATATCCCCCACACCTCCCACCTCTAAAAAATTCTTAGAGACTTCTGAGCCGAGAGCTACTCATGGTTACTCCTTTACATACACTGAGGCCAAACAAAAAGAGGGATTTCATCTATCAATAGAACCTATAAACTATAAACTTAGTCAAAACTATAGTCTTTAATTTATTTTGAGAAAGGAAAATCGTTGTTTACTTGCGCTCCTGAAAAACGAATTTATGCTGATTTTCCCATCTTCATAAGTTTCCACGTCGATTTAAATTTCAAATAGGAAGCAATTAAACAGAATAACAATAATACCTAGGAAAGATGATGAAATAGAGATTTTTATCAAATTCATGCTACTTTTCTTATATTTTATTTTAGTGATTTAAGTAATGTGAACAGTAGCTTACTTTTATTCACTCAGGGTTGTCTAAATAGAAAGAAATCAATATTATTTCATTGCTGAATGATTGTAGAACAGGCATGCCTTGGGGCTTTCCAAATGTGCAATATGAGAGTGGGAATTAACCAGGGAAAGCACCATCACACCTAAAATATGGTTTCTGAATTTTCGGGCAAAATATGGCCAGGCACTTATTAGGGAAAGTGTTCTTCTGAAAATCGCAATGAAAATACACATACTTTAGGATCATTAAATATGAAGCCATTGTGGCCAGGTAAGACTTCACTTTCTGAGTCAGATCCAATCTTAGCAGCTGAAAACGTATAT